CCGGGAAAAAAAAAAAACAAAAAAAAAAACTCATGCTAGCCCCATCCTCACGGCACCTTGATCTCCATGCTACGACCGTCTTCACCCGCATAGAACGCCCGGTCATTCTCGCTCTATCTAGACTGAAAGCTTCCCCAAATACATCTATAATGACCCGGCGTTCTATTGGAGTGAAGACGGTAGTGGTTCCTTGGGCACCGGGCGGGGAAAAAAGGGCCTGAAAGGCCGTCCTCTCCAGATTTGACAGGTAATTGAATTGGTTGGGCTTAAAGAATTAGCCTTTTACAAAACAAAATTTAACAACAAAAAAAAAAAAAAAAAGTGGTTTTCGAGACCCAAAAAAAAGTCAGTCGGTCCACCGCAGCAATTCACCTTGCTGTCCTTCTGGACATCGGTTAAAATTGGAACGATACAGACAAAGAAGATTAGCATCACCCCTGCACAAGGATGACATCATGACACGCATAAATCAAGAAATGCAATTCACCTTGCTGCCCAGTATGAGTACAGCACGCAATAACAAATTTTATTACACTATCACCTCATCATAATATGATAATAATATGGGTTTCTAATTAATATTCTTTAGGTTTTAAATCCCATCAGAAAATCCCCGTCTTTTTTTCTCTTTTTTTCCTCTTTTTTTTCTCTTTTTTTCTCTTTTTTCGTCTCTTTTCTGGTCCCTTTTTTTCTCTCTTTTTTTTCCTTTTTTTTTCTCTTTTCTTTTTTTTTAAAGGAGGAAGGACTCGAAGGAGCAAAAAGAAAAGTCAATACCTCTCTTTGCCTTTTGGCTAAGATCAAGTGCATTGTATCTGTTCTGATCAGTTTAATATAAAACAAAAAAACAAAAAAAAAAGTCCGAGCAGTAAAGTGGAAATGGTACACTCATGCCCCTGCGCAAGGATGAAGAAGAAAAAGAAGCAGAATGATGACAAGCAATGGCCAATTGCTTCTGCACACGCTCACTGAGAATCAGCAATGAAACTTCATAGCACGTGTTACATGCTCAAACGACCCATCACCTCACCGGGTCCCGAATCCTCACCCGCGAGTGAGAATGGCTGAATCGCTTTTTTTTCCTGCTAAGGCCGATCAGTTCCCCCCCCCCCCCCCCCCCCCCCACCCCCCCTTCCCTCCCCCCCTCCCCCCCCCCCCCCCCCCAACCAAGCCAAAAAAAAAGGAAGGGAAAAAGGGTGAGAAGAGCGCGCAGAGGGAACGAAGCAGCACAGCTTTCGAGACTACACGTGATGGATCGCTTTTGGCGCTTGGCGCGGTTTGTCACTAAGGACGAGGTCCCACTGCCAACGAGGATCGGATTAAGCGCATGAATCTGGACGTGCTTAACGCACAGATGCAGAAATGCAGATCAATGTCGATTTTCTGCACCTCTCCACAAACACGTCCTGATTCGGGCGTGAAATCCAGAAGCCTAAGCGTCTATGTGCTGCGTGTCCGGTCAGTTACGTTCTGATCTCACTGTCATCACCATCACCAGTCCCCCCCTTCCCCCTCCCCACACCTTTCTGCTCGCCTTAATTGGAGGCAAGCTGTGCCGCATGGTCCAGGCACTCCGCAGTGGCCTGGTTCATACGGCAAAAAGGGATTTTTTTTTTCCAAAACATATTGGGAAAAAAAAAAAAAGGGTTTCAGAAGAGCGCGCCGAGGGAACGAACCAGCACAGCATGTCTTGACGCCCCACCTTGCTGCCCAGGATGGTCGCTCCTTTTTCCAGATATAGGGTCATATTGGATGTCAGATTAAAGGGCCCTGTAAGCCAGGACCCCCTTGGAATAGTAAGTTGGGCCCCTCCATCAGCACCCACCCCTTCCACGGCCTTAATTGCATTCTTAAAGGCCTCTGTATTCAGTGTTGTCCCGTCCCCAAGCGCGCCAAATTGCGTAAGATCAAAAAGATGGCGCCTTTGCGGAATCGACGGCTTAGGATGGGCCTTCATCTGGAAAAAATCGCGTCCCTTGGAGGGATCGAACGCTGTATCTTCTTCTGCATCATCCTGGAAATCGAACGGTCCATGGCCCGTGGGATGACTCCAATCACCTGGCAAGATGCCTGTGCCGCCACGTGGCGGCCCCTCGTCGTGCCCGGGGAGCCCATGCCTTGATGGGAATTTAAGGAGCACAAGAAGAAAAATCACCCCCAACAAGATGAGAAACCCGCTAATTACACCAATCAGGGGCCATTCAAAGATTCGTCGCCACTTGCTACCCGACCAAGAGAAGGATGGCCGACGACCGGTCGCCCTGGAGCCGGTGCCTCCCCCGCTGATTACCGGTTTGAAGACCCCGCGTTTCGGTAGAAGCGCCTGACTCTCGCTGACCGCCCCTGCATCTTCCAACGGTGATGATGGTGGAAAACCTGCAAGTCGATCGGTATCTCGAAGTTCATCTTCCAATGGGCTGTCGACGCCCAAGTGATGTACCATGCCTGTCCCATACACCCATACACACCACCACCACCACCACCACCACCATCATCATCATCATCATCATCATCATCATCATCATCAAGAACATAAAAAAGAACAGCAAGTAATGAGAACAATATAGATCTGAAACGCTACTTGTCCTGTAAATACAACATCATCATCGTCATTCGCAAGAGAATTGCGAGGTTTCCAAAAAAGTAATAAAATATTTTGTGTTCTGCTCTAGGTACCCCCCGCCCTTATCGTCCGGGATGTCCTACCCGACGTCTGGTCGGACTTTGGGCCGGACAGGGTATGTCGGGACCCCCCTGACCGTCCGGGATGTCCGACCGGACGTCTAGTCAGACGTTGGACCTGACAGGGTATGTCCTACCTAGCGCAAAAAAAAATATATATATATATATATATATATATATTTATTTATTTTTTGAAAAACATCATGTGGCTTTCACCTTGCATAAGGTGTATGCCACCAAATTTTTGGCTCATTTGGGCAAGTAGAATAAACAATAAAAATCTTCAAAGATTCTAATCCCCACCGATACCCCTCCTACTCCACCAAAACCCCTTGTACCCCCACCCAACCCCAAATACCACCCTATCACCAAATGCTCAGAAAAATCTGAAAATTTTTGAGGGGTGTCTCTAGGGCATGTGCAACACTGTCATTATTTTATTTTTATTTTTTAATATTATTTAGTGCCAAAAAGTCGTCAGGAAATCTGGACGACGGGGGTACCGGACGGACGAGGGAGACGTCCGGTCTCCGGACCATTGGTAACCTAGGTTCTGCTATAAATAATAAAATATTTCCAAAAAAATAAGAAATAATAATAAGAATCATCATTATCATCATCACCACTCCACGACTACCATAATTAGGGGGAGGAGCACAAGGGCGGAGAGGACAGAAAGAAGAGAGACGGAGGAACCAAGTGCAATCCAGAGTAGGAGGAGGATGAGGGAAGGAAGAAGAGGTGAGGATGGGGAACTTTGGGCCTCGCTCCACCACTAACAAAACGTGCAAAATGAGAACGAATCTTCCGCTAGAATATAGAAAGATACACCGCCATGTTGTTTTTTTTTTTGGTCTTTTCTGCATGTCGTCGTTAGTGCGGCGAGGCCCTTTATCCCCCATTAAAACTTTTATTTGATCCATCCATTCCAGAGGAGGAGGATGGGAAACGTTACCCATTGGAAATTCCATTATTATCTAGGCTACCAGCCGGGCGGCCCGGCCGTGCAAGGACCAGGGAATGTCCCAGCCCAAAAAAAAAAAAAAAAAAAAAAAACGAAAAAAACCTATGTTATGCAAAAAAATAAACTGAACAACTTTTGCCTTAGGGTCACATTGAAATTCTTTACCAAATTTAAAATAAAAATGTAAAAAAAAAATACTTTTTATTTTTTATTTTTTATTTTCTTTTTTGCCCGGCCGGGCAAGTGGAGCCGGGCCACTCTGGTAGCCTAGATTATTATCCTTTTTTTTTCTTTTTCGGAAATTCCATTATGATCCTAACGGAGGAGGATGGATTGGACAAGTTCCAATGGATGACGGGGATGTCCATTTTTTATTTTTTGCTCTTTATTTTTAAGGGAGAGGGATGGAATGGATGTGTCGCATAATCCGTTCTCATCCTTTTTTTTCCCCCTTTCCCCAGCTTTCCCCACTGTTTCCTATGCAATAAACTAAGTGACGTTTTTTTCAAAAAAAAAAAAAAAAAAGTGGTAGCGTTATCAGGGAAAAAAAAAAAAAAAAAAAAAAAAAAATGGAATGGATAAGGAGGGATAAATGGATAAAGCCATCCAAGCAATGGATAGAGCCATCCAAATCAAACGACGACGGGAAATGGAAAGCACTCTTTTTTGTTTTTTCCTTTAATGGAAAGCAATCCATTTTTTTTTTTTTATAATCCAAAGCAACCCCTTTTTAAAAGATCCAAAGCAATCCTTTTTCTTTTTTTTTTCTTAAACCACCAGTTCGCACGAACCTTTTTTTCTACCAGCATACACGGTAAGAAGAGGGAGGGGTAGTAGAAATAAGTGGATTAAAAATGAAAAACGAAAAATGGATAAGGATGGAGATTGCTAATAAGGTTTGCTTTGTGAACTTAGGCTCGCGTGAACTTTTGTTTCATAGAAAGCCCAAAAAAAAAAAAAAAAAAAAAAAAAAACAAGAAAGCCATCCACCCAATGGATAAAGATGGAGATCGATCAAGATGCCAAGTTGGATACTATCCCGATCAGATCTAGATCTATCGGCCGGGGGGGAAGGCGGGGGGGGGAAGGGGTAGAAAAAATTAAGTAGATAAAGAAATGTTATCTTTACCATTCTCCATCTTTATCCTGTGTATATATATTTCTCCTCAATATATACATCGTCAAACAGACCTGCCCGGTAAACCGTAAGCAGAGAGGGAAGGAGAGAGAGGGAGGGAGAAGAGGACAACAAACGAGGGGGGCTGTGACCAACTGTTATATCGCCGGACTTTCACCGACTCATCAGGACGCTCCTAGTTTATCCTCTACTACCTACCGTCTTCACCCGAATAGAACGCCCGGTAATTAACGCCGTATCTGGGCTGAAAGTTGTGCGAAATACAGCTATAATGACCGGGCGTTCTATTCGGGTGAAGACAATAGTACTCAATCCCCACGATCAGATTTTGCCAGTTGGATGGGGCCATCAAGCGTGGAGAATTCAGCTGGGAATAAACCACAGAAACTACCCCATATAAACCCCATATAAACTCCACCGGAACGTCAAGAAGCCTCTGGAGATATAGTCTGCACGGAGTGAAACCGGCGCTCTCCGCAGTTAGGCTGGGGAATGGTACTGAATCTTCCGCTAGAAGCTGGAAACATACACTCGGCGTTTGTTTTATTATTTCGAAATTCGAATTTCGCGAGTAGTGGAGCCAAGCGCATGTTCACAGCGAGGAGCAAGAGGATTCTTCACATACGCAAACCAAACGGAAACAAACGGAACCAAATGGGAAGTCTGCGCAATAACACCAAGAGACAACAAACACCAAGAGACAGAAAGAAAGGGCAGGGTAACGGAGGAGGTCGACGCGTAAGGAGACAAACGGAAACAAACGGAAACAAACGGAAACAAACGGAAACAAACAGAACCATTGCAAATGGAAACAACTGGAACCATACGAAACCAAACGCACCTCTTAGACGACGAAACCGGCTATCAACACGCCGCTCTGCCGTACCGCGCGCCAGCGGAATTGTCTCTCAATGCACGCTACACTCTCTCTCTCTCTCTCTCTCTCTCTCTCTCTCTCTCTCTCTCTCTGTGTGTGTGTGTGTGTGTGTGTGTGTGTGTGTGTGTGTGTGATGCCTTATACATCCATACCGCTTTCGCTCCGTCCATCTATCCATCTAATCATCAGAGCCAATCTATTCTCCATTGCCTTATCAACTGTAATTACTTCAGATGTCTATTTTTGCTTTTTCTACCCAATTTATCTACGCCTCTATCTGCCTGGCAGTGCCTATATGTCCTTATACTGGCCGATCGAATATCTATCTATTTCCATTATAAAAAAAGGGGTAACTTCGGCGCAGTCACGAAAACAGTTTGTAATTGCACTTCAGGCAATCCCGCGGATACAACACACCCCCACGCGACCCCACCGGACCTGAAACGTAGGTCATATACATTCAGCATTACCGGCCCTTTTGCCTCAAGTGCAATTACAAACTCAAGTCCTGACTGCGCCGTAGTTTTCTCATTAAAAAAAAGGCAAAAATATATATATTACGCGTTAGGTGCAGTCGATCCAATTTCTCCCCCCCCCCAAACTCTGCTTAGTACTTAGTGCTTAGCGCTCGCTGTCGATCTACGTTCTCTCTATATCATATGCATCTGTCTTATCCATTATTGATCTACGTTATCAGATCTAAATCCTATCAGATTATCTTACATCTTTTTTCTTTTCTTTTTTTTCTTTTTTTTTTTTTAGATTATCTTACATCTTATACAGCGTTCGATCTACTTATACAGCGTTCGATCTATTTCTTCCACTATACAGCATCCTGTCAATCCCTCAAACTACGTAGCTACCTATGTATCTGCCGGCCCATCTAACGGCATACTCACACTGGCATTTTTTCACTTATTTCTGGACGGAATTTGGGTCACATGCATACATTCGGGACGTAAATGCAGTCAGATGCATTTATGACAGTGCTACCTAGTGTGAGTACCCCCTAACTCCCGATCAAATCCGTCGTGTCTTCCTCTTTGTCTTTCCTCTCTCCGTTTATCCTCTCTCCATTTGTGCTCTCCGTTCGTCCTCTCCGTCGGAACACCCGTTAATTTCTTTTTCTTTTTTTTTTTTGACGCACAGCACTTTGCTTACGGTATTGCAAATCCCCCTATCTCTCCGTTTACTTCCGCCGTCTTTCGCTATCTCACCGCTTTGTATACTCCGCGAGGCTCGGCAGCGACCGGCGCGGTGTCGCGATTTCCATCCCGACAGCCGGTGGTTTGCACACCAGACCTCCGACTCCGATAGCCGGTGGTTTGCACACCAGACCTCCGACCCCCGACCCCGACAGCGTTGCGGAAAGCCAGTGGTTTGCGCATACCTGACCTCCGAACCCGACAGCTGCGCTCCGTGCTCTGCGCTCTGCGCTCACTACTGAGGGCACCCTCCCTGCTGCGCTCCGTGCTCTGCGCTCTGCGCTCAGTGCTGAGCCGCCCGCGAAGCGCACGACCCACAGTTGTCAGCGGCATCCTGCGCGCTGGCACTGCTCTCTGCCCTCACCCCACACGCGCTTTCCTCAACGCGGTATGACGACGGGTCCACAGCGGCGTAACCGCACCAGCCACCATGACCGGGCCGCCTGCGGGGGCTCCTCCGGAACCTAGGGGCCGCATCCCGTTGGCAAAGAGGATTGTAGTAAGTGTCTGAATGTGGACGTGTTTGTGGACAGGTGCAAAAGGTTCTGATTGATCTAGTTTTCTGCACCTCTGCGTGGAACACGTCCAGATTCAGACACTTCTTCCAAACCTCTTTGCCACTTCTTCCAAACCTCTTTGCCAGTGGGATCTGGCCCCTAGACTAGCAACACACGTGCCTGCCGGCCCGCCTGCGGCGGCTCCCCCCGTACCTACCACTTGCGACACAGGCGCAGGCGCAGGCACAACAAATAGGCTACGGAAACACCGTGCGTGCGACGTTCATTCACTGGCACATACAACTCTTCCATCGCGGCTCGGCTCGTCCGTCGCTCACCTCCACAGCTATGGATGCATAAAACTCTTCCATTGCGGCTCGTCCGTTGCTCACCTCCACAGCTATGGATGCATACAACTCTTCCATAGCGGCTCTCCGTTGCTCACCTCCACAGCTATGGAAGCTCCCATCATGCCCGTAAACTCCGAACCGCTTTCCGAACCGTTTTCCGAGGCAGGAGTGATGGCCTGGGCTCCCTGCCATCCGGGGCGAGGTCCCACTAGCGAAGGGGTTTAGGGTGGGCTCCGCGCCACCCCGGTTGAGGAATTCCCGGCCTCATTGCATACTTATTATAATAAATTTCCTTTGTGTAAGGGGGGGGGAAAGCATCTAACCCCTGAATATGGACGCGTTTGGGGAAACACAGAAAATGATGACTGTGGGGGACTAGGCGCGACCACGGTTCTCTAGGCGCCGCTTTCTGCTCCGCTATTAGGTACCACTGGGTAGCCTACCCAGTAACGAGTCCCCGTCGTGAGGATGACCATTACTTGCCTTCACCTTCACTGCAGTAACGGGAAAATTTCACGGAACATGGCGGCGAGGTAGCCATAGCCTAGCTTGTAACAGAGTAAGTAACGGAAAAAAAGGTTAACGATGAGCACAAAGGACAACGTTACGTGCATCGACAACGAGGTGTAAGCTACAGCAGCGAAGTAATTTACTAAGCTAGGAATTTTGCGTGCAAATGAGGAAAGGTGATACGAGATGAATATTATCATAGAGGATAGTCGAGCTCGACACAACTGGACGAACGCCGATCCACCTAACAAGGCTAAGTTCCTTTCACTCAATTGGGTTGAGCTAGGTACCTTTGCATCAATCTCACTGGGTGAGGAGCTTTTCTCAAAAATAGTACGATAGTCAAAGTAAATAAGGTAAAATATGTGAATTAGGGAGATACTGCAATAGGTGAAAAAAAAGGAAATGGAGGAAGGAGTTCACTGAAAAGTACATATCGAAGACAATGTTCTCTTAGGAGCAAGATCATCGTCCAATGCTAGAAGCGAAAAACATGAGGGAAGGAAGGATCAAGAAATTTATCGCACACTGCTATGAAAAGGGAAATATCCCTGATAACATACTATGTGGCCATGTTGAAATCGAGGGGAGAGAGGCAGTTGAAATGGTAAACTCTCAGTTCGACCAGATTAAGGTGAAATGGCTAAAAGAACGTATGGTGGTAGTTGTATTCGGAGATGCAGTGAAAGACCTCCCCAAAAAGGTGACAGCATACCTAAATCATACACGTGCTTATGAAAACGGATGGGTGAAAGACAATGTCTTTGAGCCACAAGCACCCAAAGGTACTATTAGATTTTAAGGTCCTAACGAAGTTGAATATGTAGCCAAAACCATAGTTGTTGCTTCATGGATGATCATTCAACAAGATAATAATGTGATGTTGTTTGGTAACACATATGCAATGAGCTTTAAAAGGTGGCTGACTCGACTGTAGTAGCGATGGTCCTGAAGGATAAAAATTGAAAACACCTTTGGGTCATGGCCTTGCACATGCCTCTACATGTAGTAGTCTACACTAAAGCATCATAAGCACGATAGTGAAGGACCACCCACCGATCACGGAAAGATCGAAACCATTACTCGTTAACCAAAAATTATAATATAATATTCATCCACAATTTAATGAGCGGATGGTAAGTCGAATGTGGGTGAGGACCGACAATGGAGGTATGTGAGGGTTGAAGACGACGTGCCCGTTCACACCATAGTGTCGTCGATGCAAGTGATACTTTGATGAAGAGGAGCGTACAAAATTTCAACCTGCAAACTTCGATAATTAAAAACCAGGATTTGGAAATCAACCAAGGTATATGAACTTGCGATTAATGAATCAGAATGTTGGAGGACAACTTCAATAACTAAGTGCTAAAAACTTCCAATATAAAAAATCGGCCAACAGAGAGGTCGAGAGAAAAGGATCATATCAAGGAAACTTGGGACCAAGATCGGTCTTTCGCCAGCTGCAATAAAACAAAGCAGAAGAATCAGTGATATAGAAGATAAAGGTTTCCGACTAATTGGTAAGGCCTAAATATCCTTATGGCGTTCGCACGAATCGTATTTCTGATGGTCGTTCATACGTTAATCCCTGGAGTGGCCAACTAATAAATGAAGGCAGACAAGTTTTTAACTCCAGAGACCTTATGGTGTACAATGGTTAAAAAAAAGAACGATAAATCAACATCAACAGACTTCACCACATGGCGCCTCGATACTGTTGTTTTTTTTAGCTTTAAACCATCAGTATCTCTGAGCCTGTTTTTGCCGACCCTGAATTTCACTGCGCTCCGAGTTTTGCCAAGCGTGGGTACCACTTCGTTTTCTTTCTGGTACTCTCACACGGAAAGAGTAAAAAAAAACAAAAAAAAAGAAGAAAAGTCACGGTCGTGAACCTCATAAAAAAAAAAAAAAAAAAAAAAAGGAATTTTTTTTTTGGCCGTGATTGCAGTTGTATGCATTTTTGGAAGTGGTAGTGTGAGTGTGCCCTCAATGAGGGTATCTCTGCCTCGTGGTCATGTTGTCAGATTCCAAAAAGAGAATAAAAAGGGAAAAAAACGGGCACATGGATCCGACCGTGAAAATGATTGAGTACATTTCCCTAAGTGTCAGTGTGATGAGCCTTACAATCCTCCGACAAAACACAACTTGAGCAGATCACGGACAACTTGAGTAATTCACGGACAGGGGACTCATAAGAAACACACGACCAACAAAAAAAAGAAAATTGTAACATTCAGAATGTGACCGCCTTACCTGTGAGGTGCATTATGTGGAGGAGGATAGCGAGCACGGCCTCCTGGACTACCCAGCCCGACATCATTGCAGTAGAGAAACCTTTTTTTTTTCCCCTTTTTCCTTGACTATAAAATTCATATTTATGGGACATTGCCGACCCTGTGTCCCACCCCGAAAAGTTCGGGTACTAGCCAAGACATCGTTATTTCTTAACACTTGCGGAGGTACTGGTGGTTTAACTAAAACGGAAGTAAGGGGAGACGAATTGACTCTCATCGACAAAGATTCGATATCAAATAGTAATTTACCTATGGCAACTTTGGTGGGAGGATAAAGGGATTAAAAGAGGACATTGTCTTTTAAGGTATCAAGAATCAAGGGTGGCACATACCACGGGGAATGACTAAGTAAATATTTGGGCGATTAATCGTGCCTTGGTATCAAAAACTTGTAAGGGTTGGTAGAAAGTTCAAAAAGGTCACATGGCAATATGAGACTAGCAGTGAGATCGTTTAAACCAATATTTATGATAATGAGAGACTGTCTGACAATCACAATCGATTGATTGTTATCGCAGACAGTGAAAAAAATGTCATTTCGTTTGTATGCTTGCTTATTAACGATATTATCCAAATATTTGTCCGACTCTCGTTACATTATGTGATGTCCTTTCATTCATCAATGGTATTAGAGTCAATCATGTTGAATGTCATACTTATCTTATCAGAACTTATTTCTGGAGACTCACTCACCATGAGACTAAGTTTCAGAGGTGGTTGAACAAAAGTTTTATCTTAATTTTTATGAAAAAAAAAATCAAATATTGAGTTTCGTTATTTGACGTCTTAATGTGAGCAGATAACATTGAACCTCTTTCGACTAGTGGTACTATGAGGTTTTCACCTCTATCGATTTTTATCAAAGCACATGCACAAAAACTGCAATAGGTGAAGATAGATCAGGAAGTACTCGCCTGATAAATATCTCTCGACAAAAAGATGTCGTTAAAGAATACACTTAATTATATCTTTGTCAAAAACACGCTCACTAAAAAATGGTTGCAACAAACAGGATCTGCCAGTACAGTTGTCTTCAGGGACCCGAGTAGGAACAATCAAGGTGAACAAGGGCGTGAAACAACGGTGGAGACGAAAAGGATCCAAATGATACCGGAAGCGAGAAACGCCAACACACAAACTTAGGATTGCTTCTTAGAACATATGTGGATTGGATAATACAACAAGGAGTTTCAAAATAACTTAGCTGAAGTCTTAGTTATACAAATAGAAAGTTAAAGTTGCACTACTATGAGAGACTAAACAGAAAGTGGGGTGAATCGCACCACTTGGCTCCAACGAACAGGATAAGAGGTTGGGTTTGTATCTTAATTCACAAATAAAATGAATGTACCCATAGAGGATTATGAGGTAGATTTGTGGGATAGATGAATCTCGGTAAGACTAGGAAGTTAAGGAGTATCATAAACAATTATGACCGTATAAATTCCAACAAACATGACATAAAAAATTATTGATTGTCTGAGTTAATGGGATACATCCTAAATATTGATAATCAATTAATAATAGTAGAGGATAAAAACTGAAGTCTTTACTAGTTAAGTTCTACAGTCCCCGACGCTGTAGATATTTTGCTCATCATTGAGTACATGGCCGAATTAGAGCTTAGTGATTTATATAAACTAATGTACATACTGGAACAAGAAAATACATAGTATTCAACAACAACAACATCATACAATACTGCAAGATTAAAACGTAGACTATATTTATTTTGCGCTTAGTCCAAAGTAAACAGAATATGTTACCGACGTTAAGATAATCAGAGACCCTTTATCATACAATAGCCCGATGCTTACCTTTTTTATAGGAGACCGTGAAAAAAAAAAAATTCACGTTAAATACTCAATAATTACATTAAACTGAAATATGTAAATGAGTTAATATTTTATGGGAGGAGATGAATAAAATCTAAGGATTAATGTCAGTCAATGGGGGAGTGGTGGGACACTGACATTGTGATAACATTCAATATGCTCAGTTTCTTCGCAAGGATCGTAGTAGCAAAACATTATACAATAATCAAGGATTAAACCTCATAAGTAAAAAATAAAATCATATCTCATTGCAAGTTTTTGTGAAGTAAAGTTGATTACAAACTATTTCAGGTTAAATACTCAGTTACTGGAGAAACCCAAAATATATAAATGAGTTAATGTTTTTTTCAGGGAAATAAATAAAATCAACTTGAAGAACCAATTTCAGTCAGCGGACTACAGTGAGTGGTGGGAGATTGACATCGTGATAACATTCAATATGTTCACTGTCTCAACAAGAATCGTGGCAACAAAACGTAATGCAGAGGAAACAATAGTCAATGTTGAAATCTTATAAATAAATTAAAAAAAAATGAACCTTCATCTTATCTCACCGTAAATTTGGGTAGAAAACAAGACAAAGTAGTTAGAATGGTTTCTTACAAACAGTTTCAATGACCGCTTTATTAATATTTTTTATCCTTCAAGTCTTCATATTAGATCTGTCGACTATTTTGTCATAAAAAATTTGTTAAATAAATATAGTTAATTATATCATAATATAAATAAGTAAAACACAC